CCTAGGGTGAATTTTTAAATAGGGACAATTTTAATGATTTTAAACAAGACACAGCTACAAATATTTGGTTTTTAATTGGCTTTTATAGGGAAATGTTTTGTATTGTTTTTAATATGCTGTGAGCCGCCCTGAGTCCCATGGGGGAGAAGGGCGGCATATAAGTTAAAGTTAAATAAAAATAAATAAATAAATAAAATATTAAACTAGTAGTCAATTTCCTTTTCTTAAAACCAGTAATCTACACTATTTACAAAACTTCCAAGAGAACCACAAGTGGTTCTGCACTAGGGTGGCTACAGTTCAGATTGCTCCTCAGAACATACATAGACTGACTTTTTAACAATTTTAAAGCAATTTTTCTGGTAGCTGAAGTACTGTATAAACTCTTCATTCCTGCAATGCGATGCAAGCAACTATTTCTGTGGTCCATCAATGCACAATGCATTTGTTCTGCTACATTATAGTAGCAATACACCTAAACCAGGTCAGTATAATGGAAATCCATGTTTATCCAGCCTTTTATTATATGAAAACTATTGATCAAGATAAGCAGACAAGTAAGTTGTACCAGGGGCCCCAACCCCCAGGCCACTACTAGGCAATGGTTTATTCAGAACTGGGCCGTGCGAGTGGCGGACCTGTACATCTGCAGCTTGATTTGTGTGAGCGGCGGGCTTGCACACATGCATAGGTGCTGTAGCTTAACTTGTGCAAGTCGGGCCTCCAAGCTGCAAAGATTGGGGACCACTGAGTTATATACAGCTTTCTTACCGGAAGATTGCTTTGTTGAGATATTCTGCATGGGTTCTGTAAATTTCCTCCAAATTCCCCACAGAAGACAATTTATTTCCAAATTCACACCAGGTAACATGCAAAATCTGATTGGCAATATAACCTTGAATAACTTTAACAAAATGCTGCATTTCATGCTTATAAAGCTGGAGTTGTCGAAACTGGACTGAGTTCGATGCATGTTTTACTAATGCTGCAAAACAAATATATTTAATCAATCAATCACGGCGTCTGAAAACACATGGTTATTATTTAAAAATGAGAATATTTTAGAAGCCAAATTTAAAAGAAAAAAAAAGATAAATATAATGTAAGGTTTATGAATTACTGCTAAATATAATCATGTTCAATAAAATATTACACGATCAATAAAACAGATGCAAAAATACTTCGATTTAAAAAAAAAGAAAAAGAAATATTCGGCAGAAGTACGCAAATCAGTCTTACCAGTTCGCTTTAAGTGGAACCAGACATCTTTAAGAGTCCATACCATATGTTTCAGCTGTAGCAGGAAGGAGAATATCTTGTTATATTTATTCATACAGTTCTCAGTAATTACAATATTTAAGGGCCAGTCAACCTAAAAGAAAATGAAAATAATTCTCACTGCATATGGATCTATATTTTGCAACCTTTTGAGACAAGTTTAAAAACAACACAAAGATGCATTTATAAATAGCATCAGAAAACATTCAGGATCAATTATTCTAATAAATCAATCATGGTTTTAGAAAACAAGTCAAAAAGTTCTGTGGGCATCTCACCTTGTATCGTAGGTCCAAGCAGGTTAGGGCATCAGGAGCATTGGGTTTGAACATGTCTGGGAGGTATTTCAGTGCAAAAGA